TTCTGCCTCCTCTTTCCACCGATCAAATGGCAGAAAACCGTTAAATTCAAATTTGAGATACCAGGCGCACAGAAATCAGCAGATGGTCGCTGCTTTTTTTAAATTCTCTTTTTTTCTTGTTTATCTTTGTATTTCGTTGCCCACTCTTTTCGCTATAATTTTTCTCATTTTCTGCCTCCACTTTCCACCGCTCAAATGGCAGAAAACCGTTAAATTCAAATTTGAGATACCAGGCGCACAGAAATCAGCAGAAGGTCGCCGCTTTTTTTAAATTCTCTTTTTTTCTTGTTTATCTTTGTATTTCGTTGCCCACTCTTTTCGCTATAATTTTTCTCATTTTCTGCCTCCACTTTCCACCGCTCAAATGGCAGAAAACCGTTAAATTCAAATTTGAGATACCAGGCGCACAGAAATCAGCAGAAGGTCGCCGCTTTTTTTAAATTCTCTTTTTTTCTTTTCGCTATAATTTTTCTCATTTTCTGCCTCCACTTTCCACCGCTCGAATGGCAGAAAACCGTTAAATTAAAATTTAGATACCAGGCGCACAGAAATCAGCAGAAGGTCGCCGCTTTTTTTAAATTCTCTTTTTTTCTTGTTTTTCTTTGTATTTCGTTGCCCACTCTTTTCGCTATAATTTTTCTCATTTTCTGCCTCCACTTTCCACCGCTCAAATGGCAGAAAACCGTTAAATTCAAATTTGAGATACCAGGCGCACAGAAATCAGCAGAAGGTCGCTGCTTTTTTTTAATTCTCTTTTTTTCTTGTTTATCTTTGTATTTCGTTGCCCACTCTTTTCGCTATAATTTTTCTCATTTTCTGCCTCCACTTTCCACCGCTCAAATGGCAGAAAACCGTTAAATTCAAATTTGAGATACCAGGCGCACAGAAATCAGCAGAAGGTCGCTGCTTTTTTTAAATTCTCTTTTTTTCTTGTTTATCTTTGTATTTCGTTGCCCACTCTTCTCGCTATAATTTTTCTCATTTTCTGCCTCCTCTTTCCACCGCTCAAATGGCGGAAAACCGTTAAATTCAAATTTGAGATACCAGGCGCACAGAAATCAGCAGAAGGTCGCTGCTTTTTTTTAATTCTCTTTTTCCTTGTTTATCTTTGTATTTCGTTGCCCACTCTTTTCGCTATAATTTTTCTCATTTTCTGCCTCCACTTTCCACCGCTCGAATGGCAGAAAACCGTTAAATTCAAATTTGAGATACCAGGCGCACAGAAATCAGCAGAAGGTCGCTGCTTTTTTTAAATTCTCTTTTTTTCTTGTTTATCTTTGTATGTCGTTGCCCACTCTTTTCGCTAAAATTTTTTTCATTTTCTGCCTCCACTTTCCACCGCTCAAATGGCAGAAAACCGTTAAATTCAAATTTGAGATACCAGGCGCACAGAAATCAGCAGAAGGTCGCTGCTTTTTTTAAATTCTCTTTTTTTCTTGTTTATCTTTGTATTTCGTTGCCCACTCTTTTCGCTATAATTTTTCTCATTTTCTGCCTCCACTTTCCACCGCTCAAATGGCAGAAAACCGTTAAATTCAAATTTGAGATCCAGGCGCACAGAAATCAGCAGAAGGTCGCTGCTTTTTTAAATTCTCTTTTTTTCTTGTTTATCTTTGTATTTCGTTGCCCACTCTTTTCGCTATAATTTTTCTCATTTTCTGCCTCCTCTTTCCACCGCTCAAATGGCAGAAAACCATTAAATTCAAATTTGAGATACCAGGCGCACAGAAATCAGCAGAAGGTCGCTGCTTTTTTTAAATTCTCTTTTTTTCTTGTTTATCTTTGTATTTCGTTGCCCACTCTTTTCGCTATAATTTTTCTCATTTTCTGCCTCCACTTTCCACCGCTCAAATGGCAGAAAACCGTTAAATTCAAATTTGAGATACCGGGCGCACAGAAATCAGCAGAAGGTCGCTGCTTTTTTTAAATTCTCTTTTTTTCTTGTTTATCTTTGTATTTCGTTGCCCACTCTTTTCGCTATAATTTTTCTCATTTTCTGCCTCCACTTCCACCGCTCAAATGGCAGAAAACCGTTAAATTCAAATTTGGATACCAGGCGCACAGAAATCAGCAGAAGGTCGCTGCTTTTTTTATCCTTTTTTTCTTGTTTATCTTTGTATTTCGTTGCCCACTCTTCTCGCTATAATTTTTCTCATTTTCTGCCTCCTCTGAGATACCAGGCGCACAGAAATCAGCAGATTTGAATTTAACGGTTTTCTGCCATTTGAGCGGTGGAAAGTGGAGACAGAAAATGAGAAAAATTATAGCGAAAAGAGAGGGCAACGAAATACAAAGATAAACAAGAAAAAAAGAGAATTAAAAAAAAGCAGCGACCTTCTGCTGATTTCTGTTCGCCTGGTATCTCAGATTTGAATTTAACGGTTTTCTGCCATTTGAGCGGTGGAAAGTGGAGGCAGAAAATGAGAAAAATTAGAGCAAATAGATAGAGCAAAAAAACACAAAGAGAAACAAGAAAAAACGAGAATTTAAAAAAAAGCAGCGACCTTCTGATGATTTCTGTGGGCCTGGTATCTCAAATTTGAATTTAACGGTTTTCTGCCATTCGAGCGGTGAAAAGTGGAGGCAGAAAATGAGAAAAATTATAGCGAAAGGAGAGGGCAACGAAATACAAAGATAAACAAGAAAAAAAGAGAATTTAAAAAAAGCAGCGACCTTCTGCTGATTTCTGTGCGCCCGGTATCTCAAATTTGAATTTAACGGTTTTCTGCCATTTGAGCGGTGGAAAGTGGAGGCAGAAAATGAGAAAAATTATAGCGAAAAGAGTTGGCAACGAAATACAAAGATAAACAAAAAAAAAGAGAATTAAAAAAAAAGCAGCGACCTTCGGCTGATTTCTGTGCGCCTGGTATCTCAAATTTGAATTTAACGGTTTTCTGCCATTTGAGCGGTGGAAAGAGGAGGCAGAAAATGAGAAAAATTATAGCGAAAAGAGTGGGCAACGAAATACAAAGATAAACAAGAAAAAAAGACAATTTAAAAAAAGCAGCGACCTTCTGCTGATTTCTGTGCGCCTGGTATCTCAAATTTGAATTTAACGGTTTTCTGCCATTTGAGCGGTGGAAAGAGGAGGCAGAAAATGAGAAAAATTAGAGCGAAAAGAGAGAGCAACGAAACACGAAGACAAACAAGAAAAAAAGACAATTTAAAAAAAGCAGCGACCTTCTGCTGATTTCTGTGCGCCTGGTATCTCAGATTTGAATTTAACCGTTTTCTGCCCTGTGAGAGGTGGAAAACGGAGGCAGAATATGAGAAAAAGAAGATCGAAAAAAGAGAGCAACGAAATATAAAGAGAAACAAGAAAAAAGAGAAATAAAAAAAGCAGCGACCTTCTGCTGATTTCTGTGCGCCTGGTATCTCAAATTTCAATTTAACGGTTTTCTGTCAGCGATCATTCAAAAAGTTTCATATCAGTCAGCTTTTGTCAGCGAGCATTAAATAGTTTTATAGCAGTCAGCTTTTGTCAGCGAGCATTCAGTAGTTTTATATCAGTCAGCTTTTGTCAGCGAGCATTTAATAGTTTCATATCAGTTAGCTATTGTCAATGAGCAAAAAAAAAACGTTTTGGTTTTTTGTTTTTAATTTTTATTACATTTTCACGTTTCTCCCACATTTTTACATTTTACCTAAATTTGTACATTTTTCCTAAAATTTTAAATTTTATTTACATTTTGGTTTACCCTAAAGCATTGTAATCGATATATTTTTTTTCTCTGTTATTTTTTAACCTCATCAACTTTCATGATTACAAGAGCCGCCAATGCCTCAATGGTGTTGCTGATGCTGCTTACTTTGTGGCCTGAATGCTGCTGCTGGTTTGTGGGTTGTGGCACATGTTACATCGAGAGACTCTTCTCCCAATGGTTATGGCGCCCGTGCATTTTAAATAATTAATGGCCGGTCTGAGGAGGACTTCAGCAGCAGGACACGGCAGCAGTGCCTCTTAACGGGGGCGCCGCAAATGCAATAAAAATGTTGAGCTAAAAACTTTGACCAAGCTGAAAATAAAGAAAAGTTTTGCACTTTTGGCAGACGTTTGCCGACTGTGGCCAAAAATCGACTCCGACTCGACTGCATTTCAATTCCCAAACGATTATAAACTAGAGAGTGTCGAGGTCGGTCCACCAACCCCTCCCGCTCCTCTGCTTCCAAAATTTAATTTACAACTACACAAAGTGCAACAAACCGCAACAGGCCAAGCCAAGCCAGCAACTTGGTGAGAACTTTTTACTTTGTTAAAGTCTGAATGGCAGGGAGGGGCATGGGAAATGTGTTTGCCAGAGGAAGGACAGGGGATCTAGGACTTTGCCATCTTGGGTCAGCAGCAGGAGCTCCTGAAATTGGCTGCTAACTGGGGGCGAGGTTCGAGGTGTAGCAAACTCCTGCCGAAACAGGAAATTATGTTTATTATTACTCGTACTCGTACACAGCTACTACCCGAGCAATATGCAAATGTGCTACTCTGAAGAGTCCTGCACTGCACCCTGCCTGCCACTTACTGCCGAAAACTTCAAATTTAAATTAATAAGACAGCAGCAGCCAGGTTCGACTGGATGAGCTTCGTTAGCTTCGTTCAGCCCGGAATGCATTTGGAGAGCATCATCATCGGCATCGTCAGCAGCTCCAGGAGTGCACACTAAATTGCACTTTAATTGCACTTTAGAGCACGAGAGCCAGTCGGAAAAACTGAAAACTTTTGTTTTCTTGGGCGGCCATTGTCTGAAAGGGCATTGGCTGCTGCAGACAGGAAATTGGTAATCATCATAAATAAGTGATTCAAATTAATTAAATTCCGTTTTTGGGACAAAGTTTTTCCACGCGAAAGGAGAGGTTTTCTTTTGAAGAACACAATCGAAAATAGACTCCAACTTGAAGATAACAAGATCAATACGTATATCTTTAGGGATTACTTTATAGCACTGATAATAGTGCTAAACGCTGATGGGCAAGCAGCTCGTCTAAGATTTCATTGATTTTTTTACAATACTTTTATTGAAAAGTCTTGCAAAAATATGTGTAAATGCATCTCTAGCCTGGGGTATCAAGAAAGTTGCACTTTGTCCAGTTCCAGCTTCTCCTCCATCGTCTCCACCTGATTGCCATTGTGCTTGAGACTCTTCAGCCACTTGACGTAGTCCTCGGGTATGCCCGTCTCCTGGGCACCCTTGACCAGCACCTTGAGGTACGTCTGCGAGGGCTGTCGATTTAGGGGAATACTCGGTGGAGGGACGCTCTGCCTATGTACCTCCATGTGGGGCTGGTTGGTGAGATGATAGGCACGGCAGATGATGTCTGTGTTGCTGGTCAGTGAGAGAACTGGCACACTGATCGGAATGTACAGTCCATCGGGCACACTTTCCTGGCTGCGGAAATGAAAGAAATGTAACTTAATGGGGGGAACTTCTAGAGTGTTTATCGAGGCTTGCTTGCATACTCATCTAAATCCTTCAGATTGCACATGTCAATCTCCCATATGGCGCCATAGACATGGGCTCCAGCTGTGGGCACAATGGTGGCAGGAGCGCCCAGCCAGTTCTTGGATCCTGTGTGAAAGTCCAAGCGGTAGTTCTGTGACGAATATTGGGAATATTAGCAAAGATTCCTTAGCTTGTACGAGTGCCCAGATTACCTCTAGTTTGCCAGCTCCGATTCGCTTGGCAGTGGGATTCTGTATGTGGATGCGGCGTGCCAGCATGTTGCTGCCGAAACCAAAATAATAGAATTTGCAGGCCATGGCCAAAAGGAATAGTAGTATGTAGTTGGGTTGCTGCTGTAAGAGAAAGAGTTGTTTTTAAATTAAATTGAATGATATAAATGGCTTAATTTAAAATTGTTTTTATTTTCTGCTAATTTCTAATTTATTTAGAAGTGATAGTTTTGAAATTTTGGACTGGGTTAACGTGAGTAATTTCGTCAAGTGTATGGATGGTTGTGAACTTGACTAACACAAAGAAGCTTTGCCCACTTGCCGTCTTCAATATATCAATACTTCAATGGAAAAAAGCACAGCACTTGCCAGCTGTTCGAAAAGCTTCTTTGTTTATTTCACAATTGCAAACTCGCGTGTTATTAAGCGAAATTTTATTTTGTTATTCATGTATTTACTTAAACGTTTATTTTACTTTATTTTTTGTCACTATTTAGACTATTTTTGACTTAATTACACTTGTTTACACGATACACGACATCACACCGCACTGCTGGGAACGAATTGACTGAAAATGAGATAAGAAGACATGGGCATAGGAAAAGGCGCTGCTGCTGCGCTGCCGCTCACGTATACGTGTGTGTGCCGACCACTCATCTATATACATATTTTTGTGGTCTAGTAGGATAAGTCAAGTCGTTCTATCCAGGGTCCCTCGGTTCAAACGCTGGGCTGGATTACCTTTTTTTCTAAAGAAATTGTTTTTATTTGCGCCATTTTGGAATAAATGCTGCATTATGCACAGCAAAATCAAGCAAAGCGTGGTTCGGTGGGTTAAGTCGAGACCTGCCGATCCGGGGGTCTTCGGTTCGAAGCGTGCACGGATTTTTTTTTTTTCTTTAACAAATCTTTTTTTCCACAGTTTTACAGTAAAAATTACATTTTAAAATTGATTTGATTTTTTTTTTAATTTAGCTGGCATTAATTAAATATTTAACTGGTAAAAATTTAAGAAGAGCTTTTAATTTTTTTTGTTTTTTCCCTATTAAATGTTGAAAAAATACCATATGAAAATTAAAAAAATTTTACTTGAAAAACAGAACAAAAATACTGCAAAAAAAACGTTCACCATAAAAACAAAAAAAAAACATTTGGCATTTTTTTTGGTTTTTTGGGTTAAAAACTTGGCTGAAAATATTGTCTTGGCTAATATATGAAGAAGCGCTTGTGCTTTCATAGTTCGGAAAACGGGCGCTATTTCTGGCACGGCGCCACTGGTGTCTATCTTCCGCGCTAAAACTCGTAATTTATTGAGAAATATCGGCTATGCCCCTGGAATTTGGTACAATTTATTTGATCAGATTATGGAAGAATAACATCCTGCAATTCCAGCCTCTCCTCCAGATTGCTGGCCACCCTGCCATTGTGTTTGATGGAGCGCAACCGAATGACATACGCTTCGGGTATCGAACTCTCGACGGCCCCCTTGACCAGGCACTGCAGATAGGTCTTTGACGGCTGCCGCTCCTGGGGCACTTCATCGGGAGTCATGTGGTACAGATTGGTCTCCGGCTGGTGGGCTTTGGTCAGCATATAGGCACGTGCCGGGGTGGCAGTCTCCTCATCGCGGAGCTTTACGTACACAGTGAGTGCCTCATAGATGCCCAGATGTACGCCCTCCTGGCTGCACAGGTAGGTTAAGAGGTTATTGCGGCATCATACACCATACATTTCTGATCTACTTACTTGTCTATGTCATCCAGATTGCTGACATCGATCTCCCAGAGAGCGCCCCACGTGTGTTCGCCCGGTGTTGGCACAATTGTGGCCACAGCTCCCCTCCAGCGTGGTCCCTCACGCGCAAAGTCCAAGCGATAGTCGGCCAGGAGGGCTGCCCCGACCCTCCTCGCAGTGGGGTTTTGTATGTGTATCCTCTGGGCCAGCATGTTGCTGCCGAATCCAAAGTAGAAGAATTTGCTGCCATGAACCTCTGGCAGCGCCTCCAGGCTGCCATTGCCGGGAATGCCGCTGCTGTCGATGCTGCTGATGCTATTGGTGGCTCCTATATTGTAGCCGTTGGTTAACCGCAGCGCTGTCAACAGACAGAGCACTGAACTAATCAGTCGTTGGTTGTTCATTGAAATTTGTTTCAGTTATTTATTTTCGACAGTGTTCCCGTATCTGCCTGCCTGCCTGCTGGTTCAATGGCTACTAAGCGCTGAAAAAATGTAGTTTGTAAGCTTTTTCTATGATTTTGTTGAGCTACATTTATTTATTTCGATTGTGCTTTAGATTGTGAATTATGAAAAGCTCTTAAACTAGTTTATTTCTAGTTGTATCTTGGATTTATTATTCATTATTATTATTATTTATTATTGTTATTATTTATTATTATTATATGCGTATTTCAATTAAATAAATTAAATTTAAATTAATAAATGGAATATATGAATGAAATAATAAATAAAAAAAAATTTTTATTAAATAAACTCTTTTTTTTACAAAACTCAACTGCCACCCTTTTGGTCATGGCCTGCATCCACATACAGAGAATTCCACTGCCAAGAGAAACGGAGCTGCAAGTCAAGAGGCACATACACATATTTATTTCGTTTTCATAACAGATAACAGCATCTTGACATCGGTTCTAAGCTATAAGTCTCAGCTCTGGCAAAAAAGAGCATCTCATCTTGAGCTCTCTCCTCCGCGCGTTTTTACTGCTTATTGTGCTCTAATCGGAATGAACTTGAACATTTTAATGGGCAGATTATTCAATAAATACTCGTATGCAGCATATGGTATGTATTAGTATTTACAATCACGACCCTATCTGTCTGTCTTTCTGCCAGTCTAGCATTTGTTTAATCGCCTGCTGATAATGAGCAATAGTTAAAAAAGGGAAATCACACTGCCGAAGTGGCTATGCAAGGCACTTGCTCTGTAGAAAACTCTCTAGCAGAAGTCATCACAGCTTTGTCGTTGCATTTTCTTTGCCAACTTTATTCCAAAAGGAAATTGTCAAAATGGAATTAAAGCACCCGATTCTTTTTGCATTCGGTTTCAATATCTGACGACTGGAATACCGAAGGGATGTGGAGGGGGTTATGGATATAGGTTTCGATAGTGTGTTTATTTGGTTAGCCGCAGTGACAGCCGTTTGCTCTCTGCGCGCGTTTATATGCAATGATTTTCGAGATTTTATTGTACAATTTGTTGCATGTTTCCGATGGATGTTTGTGTGGCTTGTGGCGGCAACCATGACCAGGCCAGATCCAAAAAAAAAAGTACAGACCTGGCCAGCGACAGGCGACAGGAGTTGAATATGTTAAGAGTGGCATGAGAGTGGCGGCTGCACTTTGTGGTGATTTATGGGCGTGGCTGCTAATGTTGAACGGAAGGGCATGGGGGCAAAAATTATTTTGAACGCTTTGGCTGACATTCCGTAATGCAATGACATTGATTTGCCAATTACAAGCACCAGTGATAGGAAAAAAAAAACCAATTATAACCCCTGAGAATCGCCATTAACATTCTGCAGGCTTCTGCATTTTTATAAATGTGCATTCGATTGTGCTTCGTGGCAGCGTAAATTCTAATTTGAAAGTACAGATTCTCTGCTTGGAGATTTACACAATTTCTGCACTGCAACATCCACTCGAGTTTGTCGCTTAACTTGGTTAATTTATGGCACAGCTGTGTGGTGCAAATCATTCCATTGAGAGGGCCTACCATTTTGTTGGGAGAAATATAAGAACACAGTCTGTGACATAAATATTCATACATGTGTAACCCACTTACCATGTGGGGGGAGTGGCCCAGTCATTGTCGTCGTATCTTGGCTGATTTTCACGCAGAAATGAGCACATAAGCAGAATAGAGATGATCCCAGAGCATAGACATCGTCATCGTCGTCATCATTATCATCATCATATGCAAACAATGAAGACAAAGCCCCCACGCTCACATAGATACATGCATATGTATATGTAGCGTTGTGTAAATTCATGCACAGATATCTCTTACTATACTATACTATATATATATATATATATACCCCACATTCTGTGCATTCGATTCAATGGCAAATGCCAGCTGAAATCTGTAATCATTTGTTTTCACCTGATGCCAGTTTTTGTCATGTAAATATCGCCACATCAAATGTCTTTGGTTACTTTTACAGCTCTCGTTCAGGTCTCTTCACTTGTCAGCCCCATGCACACACACACATAGATATAGATCCTGACGGAAGCGATATGATAAATGGATTTTCCGCCTCCACAAACTTTGAATGTTGTGTCGCATACAGGACCCAGCACCCAGCACTTGGCTGCCTTCTTCCCCCTGCCTTTTGCTCGTTTGATGTTCTCATTTAAAGTTTCCCGCGTTAAAGTTTTGCTGCTTTCATATGCATACACACCACATACACTCGCAGATGTATTGGAATATCTGACTATCTTGCTATATCTGTGTGCACAAGCATATTTTATATGCTCGCTTCATATTTTATGTTCTCTGTATCGCCGCTCGCCCATAAGTTTGATGGCACAGACATGATGAATAACGGTCATTTGAGGAATGGATTTTGATTAACCCAAATAAATGTATTTCGCTTTCGATTACAAATGAACGAATGAAGTGTATTTGCGCACCAATAAGTAAAATGGATTTTGTTTCCATGAGTGAAGTGAAGGTAGCTCCGGGCTTCTGGTACTAGGCCCCAAGAATTGCATCACCAAATTGTTCTTGTTAAACTTTGTTAGGATTATTCGGTCGATATTAACAATTGATATGAGTCAGAGTATGTCAAATGGAATGGATTAACAAAAACTGCAGGCCCAAGAGCAAATTAAAGATGCAACAAAGCGTTAATCGATCAATTTAATTAAATGCCACCAGCGAATAAATATCAATATGAGTGTTTGCATTTTATTCGTTTGTCCTGCAGTAAAATTTTTAATTAATTTTTAATTCTCGGCGCACTCTTGCAAAAAACATAAAAAAATCAAACAGAAATCGGCGGAATATCGCATGCAGATTTATGGCCAGCCAAAGGATGTTTGTGCTTCACTCCATGGTGCTGCTGTGTGTGTGGATGTATCTATGAACTGGATTTCCGACAAGGCCTAACACGAGTCTGCCATTAAATTGATTGAGCCGCAAACCAAAGAGTCACAATACACATCCAGACCCCAAATTGCCAAGTAAACGGATTAAATTTCCGATTTTCAATAAGCAAACGAGTGAAGGAGCAGCTGTGTAGTTTCATGATTGCTATCGAATACTCTGCACTGTTATACATATATAGTCTAGTAAAAGCTATCCCATTTTTGTTCTTTTACTATCAATGTCCATCCACTTTCCAGCCATTCTTTCCAGAGAGAAACTCATTCCTCAGCTCTCTGGTAGTTCAAAAGGTAACTTCTTCTACGAATTAAAATGCATTTAAATGTAAGGGGACTACCCTCGGCTAGGGTATAATTATGAGAGCACTGTCTGTTAAGGCTGAAACATTTCGTAATCAATTTAAGCGCTCCAAAAATCAACAAAAAGACTCTCTCTGGGAGATTCTTTGGCAAGTCACGTTGTTTGATTTCTGCTGACACACGTTGTGTATGCCCTTGATATAGGTGTGTGTGTGTGTGTGTGTGTGTGGGAATGGGCTGAGTTTTCTTTTTAACTTTTTCGAAAGAGTAGAATGGTTGTCCAAATATTTGCTTGAAAAATGTACCAAAAATGGAAGGATAGGGCGATAAATATACATTTCTTTGTGGCATAATGCAAAAGAGTGTGCTGCGGGCTTGCATAAGTAGCATGGAGTTATTGGCAGGGGTATGAGGTGTTTTTGGAAACTCGAAACTCTACATTTACATATAATCTTTGTGGGTACTGGTAAAACTCCTCTTAACTCGGGTGTACATATAACCCATACGTAGTGTGACCATCTGTAAAATAAATTTCGAAGAGAGCATCTCATTGATTCACCACAATTAGGCTCTCATGGATCTCATGTCTCTTATTAGACTCGTTCGACAACAATAACAACAGCAACAACAAAGCGATAAGCAGCTCGACAGCAAAACATCAGAGAGTCAATTACCATCGCAGTCAATGGGAGTCAGTCGCCCCGCCCCCAACGCAATGGGCAGCCGATGGTCCGGTCCATCCGTCTGACAAGCTCGTTAAAATTTATGTTTTGTTTGTATGCTGCCATGGTGCAAGGGGAAGCGATGTGTTCGAACTGGAGGCCACTCGCATGACGCACTAATTTGTGGCAGCTTGAAGGCTCTGTTTTCAAGGGGGGGAGGCTGTCATAATAGCTGTCAATGTTTGGACATTTGTCGATGACCATAAAACAGTAGTTTAAATATTAGATCGACCGTTGATGGCAGCCTTTTTGAGGTGTGTCTACAATATTTGTGAAGGGAAATTTATTTGAATAAATATATTTTTTCCGCTTGAAAACAAAAAAACAATGGTCCACAATTTGTAATTGAAATTTAATCGAAAGCAAATACGGGAATAAACGAGTTCTCGTTTCGAATTGCACACAACAAATATCAAACTGCTTTTGTACCAAAAATAATCAAGCAAAAACTTTTTCGCAGCCAGAAAACATTTTTCTTGTTTGATTTTGTTGCCAAACTGCAAACAGAAAAACACTTTATTGGCTGTCAAAAGATTGACCAAAGATAATAGTAAATATTTGGAATAAAAATGTGTATGGCAGCCGAGTTCACTGCACGAAAAAAATAGGAGAATAATGCGTTAAAAATATATCAAAACATCAGTCTCAAATGTTAGCAGAAGTTTGTGTAATAAGTGAGGAAAGGAAAACATGTTTGCCTCTGGTTTTAAGTCTCCTCTATGTTGACAGATTCCTTAGCACTCGTTGCGGAAGCTCAGTTCTTGGAAGAACTACGAGTGTTTGCCTCAGTGCACGTGTATGCGGCAGTCTTTTGTGGGGCATTTTCAGAGCCCGCATTCAACCTCAATGGAATTGCCTGCACGGAAGCTCTAATTTGCATTATGTAGCGGGGAGATAGGGCAGCTTTTTACCCAGCGATAGCAGCAGTAGCAGCAGCAGGAGCAACAGCAACATCAACATCATCGGCAGCAGTTGCAACATCATCGGCTTGTCGGCTCTGTGGGCAGGGTGCGGGTGCGGTGTGCACGTTACTGGGGCAACAGTCTAGAGGCTCCGAGAAGTCTTCACATGTCTCTACATGTTGATGTTGGCTTGGCTGCTTGACTGCGCTGTAGCTGCTGCTGCCTGCTGCTTGCAAATTTAATAAGCCGTAAAATGTTGTGGCAGGTCGCGGGACCCAGGCGCCGTCGTCTTTTGTAGAATCTCTGCTTGTTCAGGCTTATTAATTAACAAGCACGAAAAACAGACTGAATGTTCTTAAGAAACTGTTTACCGTCTTTGCCATTGTACCTAATTTATTTTGAACATTTGGTGTACATTTTTTCCCTTTCGGCAATGGACATACCAAACCCTTGCACTAAATTCTACCGGTTACCGGTTCCGCTAGTCGAAACGTACTGCACAGATTCAACTTCCTCGATCTCCTCACTCTCCCTAATTTAAAACCCATTTGGAGAGTACTGCTGTTTCCATGCCGAACTCTCTCTGCACTACGCTGTCTGTATAATCTTGTCTTGTGGTGCAGGGACAAATGGAAACACACACAGGCTGAATATGCTGATTATCGTCTATTTACTGACTTTGTCTTTGTATATTGGACATTTTTGTTGGACATTTTTCTAAAAGGGCAAACAGCTCTGACGCATCTCGCTATACCAGCGGCCTGGTCCGCAGGCGATGTCCTTTGCGGTTGGTCGCTGGGCAATGGTGATTATTGCCAGGAAGAGCCATAAGCTGCCTTGCACGAAGTTCATCTCTGCTGTTGGAAGGTGATGTGCTGGTGGATCTGAATCCGCTTTTTATACGAGTTCCAGACGCGAGATGATATAAACCATGAAATTGGCTTATGCCAATTGATACGCCTTAATCGGGTGCCGTCTGGTTCTATACTCTGCAGCATCAAGGTTCTTCCGGCACTCACTTGTGTAAGAAAATATTCCCAGACCTGGTGCGCTGTCGTAAGTGAACCCTAACCTTTAGATTATGTCTGTTTCCAAATAGGTTTTAGGTTTGGCCCTTTCTGTTCCAGGGGATGTCCTCACATGTGCGAAGTCGCCTACTTTTTGGCCCTCTGATCAGCAGAAATCCGCGCTGACTCATTACACGGCTGCCCGGAGCCGTTGCGGTCCGTTGCTCTTCCGTTTACACGGGAATATAATTAGCCGCCAGGAGGTGAGGCCGTCTAGAGGTGGGTTAACATTATGCGTAAGCTGATATTCTGCCTGCTCCCTGCTCCTCCTTCCTTTTTTCCAGGCCATGGAAACTTAATTTTTAAGCTTAACTTTTGGCCCAAGTGAATAACATTTGTTCTGGCTGAAGGCTGAAGAAGTTCGTCGGCGCATCGTGTGGAACTTTTATGGGCTCTTCCGCTTGAAATTCAATTAATTACGCGGCTCCCTGGATGGTGGCTACACGGGCGGGGGAAGTAAACGGAAGTTTCGGCACGTGATAAATTAATTAAAGCCAAAGCCAAAGCGTTTTCTGAAAATGTTTGCATACATTGCCATTTTCATTGCCATTTCCAGGTGCCCAAAGAGCTAACTGGCCAAGAGAAAGGGTGGCTAGTGGTGGGAGGGGAGGCTGGTGGGAGTGCCCCAGTTGCGCCAATCGAAATGTGAATGGCCGTGGCAGCCAGCAGTTAGAAACAACTTAATTACGCAACGCACGGCAGCTAATTGAGTTCGGAGCATAGCGAAAATAAAATGCCATTTTCATAGTAACTGAGGCGGAGTTTTCCGCTTTTCCGACAGCAATTACACGCAATTTTCATGGCCCCGCGAGGGGCACTGTGGCGCAAGTGTCCCCAAAACAGTAGCAAACAGTGAAGTTTGGCTCTCAGCCGGCCGATTTCAGCCCACTGTGGCCCACTGTGGTGTGGGGTGAGATTGTGATGTTTGTGGCTAAAAATTGCTCCTCAGTTGCCCGACTATTTGAATGGAGAGCCAACATTTTGGTCACATCAATTTGTAGATGGCACACGAAGAGTCTTTAAGATGACCCAGACCTTGACACGGAATTGGCACTCGAACCGATTCGAAGCGAAGCGAACCCATCTCAAGGACTCTGCTTCGTGCCGCCTGCAGCACTCATGACAGCTCAATTTACTTAGCTACGCTTTGGTCTCTACTAATTATAACGCGTCTCCGACTTGGCTGTAATCTCCGTATTAATCTCAGTTTCGGGCCACGACACACGAAGAAGAAGGTTTTTGGTTTTTGGCTTTTGGTTTTTGGCTCAGTTTTCAGTTTTTTTTTTCCCCCCGTTGAATATGAAACAAATGCGAGAGAAGAATTCACTTGGTTTATTGGTGCGAATATTCTGGCGGTGCTTTGTCTAATTTTCCACTTGACACGGAATATTATTAATTGGTCTAGACGCCAGAGCGAGACACAACGTAAAGACTCAGCCCCAAAAATGGTTAATGAGCGTTCAAAGTAAATCCCTCCCCGACATGTTGAGGGCGAGGCTCATCGCCAGAATTATTCATGACAAAAACAATAACTTTAGTCAGTCGAACATGATTTTTGTTTTTTTTTTTTCGTAGAATATTCAAATTGAAATTAAATTTTTTAGTCAATTTAATACACTTAGAATACAAACTTCATATTTAATTACTCAATTATTTATTAGTGCATTTAATTATGTATGGTTTAATATCTTCAGCCTGTTATCCGTCTAGAGTCTAGACTACGGACACGATAGGCACGTGTCAGCGAAGTCAAGTCGTTTGGCCCCTTTCGGTTCACAGAGCCAAAGCCATTGGCCAAGCACTTAATTAATAAACGAACCCTTGAATAGGCAACCATTCTGCAGCCACCATAAACAAGTTGTCTGCCACGCGTTGCAAGCGTTTACTTATGCCACTTTGGGTGTCGAGTGGCTGTGGCCCCTTTGACAGGTTGAGGTGGGGGAGGGGCCTGAAGAGAGGCTTGTCAGACCTGCAGACTGCACCCATGTACAATGTACATGGCTCCGACAACTGCAGCAACAGCAGCAGCAGCTTGGGACAGATGTCTCCTTATCCTTGTAATTCTTCCCTTTCTCTCCAGGCCCCCCCCTAGGGCGTACGACGCGGCCAACTGTCTATCAATGTCAGCTCGGGAGCCACTTGACTTAAATTTCATTACAATAAAACTTAAAAAGTTAAATGTTGTGCATGTGACTGACTGATGGGGACAGGGTCTGGAAAATATGTAAGGGAAGCAGCCAGACTAAGTTTATATATATCTCAGGGTTGTGTCAATATAAACACGTGTTCAGGGTTAACCACATGGCTTAAATGTGTGTGTGTGTTCAGAGGAATGACAGCAGATTCGAATAAAGTTACATTTATATCTGATAATATATATCTGAATGGATAACCCCTGCCCGCATATTAAGTCATTGAATGCCAGACGAGACACGGCACACAACCTCCTCCTCCTCCACCTTCTCCACCTGTGTGTAGGGCATTGTGGTTGCTTGCCGTTATTTGAAGTATCAGAGACAATTAAAAAGTTGCCGCCGCTTGTTGCCATCAAATTTAATGTTTAATTTTAGTGAGCAACTTTCTGTGTAATTATTATTGTTGTGTGTGTGCTCCCGTGTGCCCGACTGCTAATTTATGCCACGGCAAAGGACTCGGAGCAGGGCAGCGGCAAAGAACGGACGGATGCTGTGGCACACAGATACAGATATGCACATGTACCCGAGTGTATTCGAGGCGATTCCTAATTGCATTCCGCATTGGGCGAATTGTCCACAAAAAATATCTACATAAAACGTGCTGCGGGTTGACGCAACTTTTGCCCACCAGTTCTCCACTTTTAATGAGTTGAAGTTGCCGCAAATTTACGGTGCACGTGAAGTGGCAGGTGGCAGGTGTGAGCCTGGCCTGGCCTGGCCTGCCCTGGACTAGCACTGGGCGTGTGCTGATGGGTGACTAGGAGGTGTGACTCTTGTCTATGGCAGCAGAGTTTAGGCCACAAATTGGCTTGTGTGGTCTGCTTTGTTATGGGGCAGTTGTCGCCGCTGCTCTATAAAATGGAATCTACGATGGGCCCTTTAATATGTACAATGTTTCATGGCAGTTTTGCTGTACATTTAAAGTGAATTTAATTTGGGCTTATTTTTGGCGAATTTTGTTTGGAATTTAAGGAGCTCTGTGCAGTAAGATGGATTTATTTTCTCCTTGTGAAAAGGAGAAAATGATTGCGGGAAAACCACTCACACTCGCACACACTCCCACACACCATCTGTAGCCATCAAATTGGCCTCTAAACATTTCAATTTGTATGCACTCAACATGGACACTCCATTGGCCACTCGACTATTTATTTTCAATTATTATTTAAAAGTTGCCGTCCGTCGCGTTCAGCAAATGTTTGTCAAAACAATGAATGGATAGGATACATAGGATATGCACCCAGTTCCACTTCAGGTCCCTGCCTCTCCCCCCTCTCTGTAGCTCTAGTTTCCCCGCCACGGAAAAATCCTCCCCATCCATTTAAAAGCTATAACTGCAGGCAAAAAACTAAAAACTAATAAAGCTGTGCCATGCCAATTGTATTCACACAATTGTCGGGCTTTTAGTTTCTTTTTCACTCTGTCTCTCGGTTATTCTGTTGATTCAATAAAGCCAAAAGCTCATTAGCACTCAAACAACAAGCAACAGAAGCAGCAGCAGCAGAGAAGCTTCCTCTGCCATATTCCTGTTTTGGATTTTTTTTTTTTTACTTTATGTTGCAGATTTAATGCAAAAATGTTTACCTTTGTTCGAGTGGGAAATGTGTTGAAGCCAGAGGCAGACGCAGGCACACAGAAGGTGCCACTCCTGCATCTCCTTCTGAACGAGCATCTGAGCTCCTTGACAGTATCACAAGACCCAACATCAAATATTTAACCAGTCCATTCATTCATTCATTTATTCTGCCAACGTTTCTCCATCAGAATTTGTATGTGGTGCAAGTGTATGTGTAGAAGAAGGCTGTGGTATTTGCATTTGATTCCTTTAGTTATTGTTCCTGAACCTGCCCCCACTTGAGCTCTTAGGAGCACTTTCAAGCATGTCCCCATCAGGCAGAGAACGAACCAAAAATGTATTTCGATTCATATTTGTGGGCAGCCTTCAACTAATCGAAATCTGATATGGGACAGCCATCGCATCGAATGCAAAGAATCTTATCATCGAGCAGTACGTTCAATCATAAATATTTCGGCATTCACAGCGGAATTGAAATGAAAATGCTGAGCTGAGTCTAATGCCACATCAAATTTCAATTATTCGAAACTCGTTTGGTTTATTTGGGATGCCATGGATATGAATATTGGAGTGGGGTTTTACATGATATTCCTCAAATTTGCTGCATCAAGAAGGTTCAAATGGAAATGGCAATGAATCGTAATCGTTGTCGTAAATATTCAAATTATTTATCAACTTGCGCAAATTATAGTCTCTTTGTTTATTTAAATCGGTGATAGAGCTACATTTAGAGCTCTATCAATCCCCAGTGGTTTCAATGGAAACATAATCCCAATGCACACATGTAGTACTACTTTAAGTGATTTCAGTCTGTTATCCATGAGTTCAGTGATGTACCTACGTGTTAATAAATTCCAAGGCAAAAGGCTAAAAGCTCACTTAAAAGTGATTTGCCTTGGCAAATGGATATTTGCACTGCTTCTGTGCCTGGAACTTCAAACTTGCATAGCCTGACCTGTTCGTCTTGCAACCCATTAAAACCAAAACCCTTTCCCGTTAAAGGGCCTGCTCCTGCTCTGCCCAAAGTCAATTGCTAACCAAAGCAATCAAACGAATCTTCGCCGGCGGCCTTTGGCACTTTGGCACTTTGACGCCTTTTCCCTTCCCCAGTTTCTCAGTGCCGTTCACGCACCTATTTTCTAATTTTGCGTCTGGCAAATTCAATTAGTTCCACCTCAGCCTTAGTCTCAGTCTCAGTTTTTGCTCTCCCTGCGCCTCAATCAATTTTCATTCGGCCAGGTAACAATGTAGCAGTACGGGGGGTAGGGATTGGGACACGGACAGGGACAGGACTCATTATGCTGTCAGCGTAATTATTATTTTGACATTGCCAGATGTACATTTAATTACGTAAAATATCTCCATCGAAACGATGCTCTCTCCTATGTTGCGAAACCTGCAGACCGAGCGAATCTCGGAGAGTCCCCACTGAGATTGCTCTGACCTTTTGGTGCTCAGGAGTTTTTTTGTTTTTATCAGTTTTCCCTCTTTAAATAAAGTTACCCACTGGGCAATTGTTTTGGAATTTCCATTGGTTTATTTTACAGCACTTTTTGGGGTTTTCTGTAGTTGTGTTTACTTGGCGGCTTCTTTTGTATTTCCCTCTTATTTTGTTACACAAATTCGTTGGAACTTCGTTGCCGTTTTGTTTGGCAGCTTTTCTGGAAAGGTCCTTTTGGGTTGGTATTTATTTTAGATCTACATGACTCGCTAGCTCAGTCGACTGGAATACCAAAACAACATGCAGGAACAGTTTTCTGACACCGAGCAAAACTTTTAAAACATTTTATTTTATTCACAGGGGATTAAAAAAAACAACAAGAGTGGCAAATAGCATGCATAGAATTTGATGTAAAAATTAATTGAACCAGAGAAGGAGTTTGGGAAATTGAAGGATACTATAATTAATAAACTGAAACTGTAATTAATTTAAAAAAATTAGCCACAGCTGAGAAATTATATGAAAAATATTTTATTTATATTCTGCATCCTTTTATTAAACTATCGATTCACTCTTTATTCTGCCGCAAAATTTGTATCTTAAAATCTTCTTGCCACCCTCCGCTTCGCTTCATTAACGTCCCTTCCTCTACGCTACAGTATGCAGCCTGTTAATTAAACATCAAAAGACTTGACCGCTAAGAAAAACCAAAGAAAAGTCTGCTCCGCCACCACCTCCTGTTACTGTCCATTCATCTCGACAGTCATTTGCGGCTGAGGCTGAGGCTGCTGCTGTTGCTCTGCTCTTCTGTTTTTTGGCAAGTTAACAACATACATCATTGACCTGTAATCCAGACAGGGCCGCACACGAACCTGAAACCGGCCCCTATCCATATCCGTACCCGTAGCCAAGCTGTCGGCTCGCGTCCGGTGCTGGGTTTTGCCTCCATTTTAGCTTGGCACTTCCAATGCCGACAATATCCGGGACAAGGAGAATGCTAGAATACCCCTCACAGTGTTTGGGGAGAAGTAGTAATGGAAACCAGGGAGACAGTCTCCTTAGAGAAATATTTTCTTAATAGAAAAATTGTGTAGAATTTATGTAGGAATTTAAAGTGGCAATGAAACATTGCATCATCTCCCAAAGTTGATGTCACATTCCCTTCCGTCAATCGCATCTACCCCACCTCATGCCAGGATGCTTACGAGGAGGAAAAACAAAAAAATAAAACGTTAACAATATGTTAACCGAAGCGGAAATATCACTTGGGAGCTACACGGACATGAACAGCGTCTGACTTTCGTTTCGATTTGTTGTGCAGAATAAACAAACTAGCGAACAAGTACGAAAAAACGACTCTGAGCCAGGGGAGGCTGCTTTGGGGCTAGAAAAAGGCGGAAAGAATGTGTCAATAATGACTAATGGCCAAGCCGGAAAGTATGGCCTATCATTCGGGCCGGTCATTGGTACCGTTCTGTCGGTCTTGGACGGTCTCGGCTTCTGCTCATTGACAATAAGGGATATCCATTTATTTTTGCATATTTTTCTTTTCCGGTTCGACAAGTTTTTGCTAAAATGAGGCCTCACCTCACCTTAATCCCCTTCTTTGTTTTTTTTGTGGATACATCATTCGGATAGATCCTATTCCCTGTCGGGAATGGCTTATAATTTAAAGCTTAGAGAACAAAAAAAATGTAAGGAAGATGACAACTTGTGCAATATCTGAGGTTGACCACTAGTTAAATATTATACATATTTACATATGTATGTACATATATTCACATTAATCGAACATGAACGGACCTGAATCGTTGCTTATAATTATACCTATATGATACCTGATATTGTATGGCTAGTGGCCTTGACCCAATTCAACCACAATGTTTTCCATTTTTATTTAATCGAATCGACACGGGAACAGAAAATCAGAGAGAGAGTCAACATTTAATTACATTACATTATACAGTATACTGTATGGTTAGTGATTAAGCCTGCCCAACTTGTATAAAGGGAAAGGGATTTCGGGTAAAGTATGTAAAAATTCCGCTAACGAAATCTGGCAGTAAAAGGCATACAAAGTTGTCAATTGCACAAGCCATCTAAAATATCTTTGTAACTTGGCATTGATCGGATTCATTTCTTCATTCACTGTCGAAATGATATTTAAATTATAATAATTTGATTGCGCAGCTATTACTACAACATTGGTGCAAGTAAACACACCATTAAAACATAACAAATACATAAGGTTTTTTACACCTGGCCAACATTTTGGGGCAGTGTTTTTTAAAAGAAAAGTAAAACACGTGCCGCCACTTTTTTCAGAGTTTTTCTCGGTGCAAAACGTTGACAAATCTTTGAGGTCTCTGACCAAGACCTTTGGCGTACAATTATTGCCAGCAAATGAAATGCTCGTCAGTCGTCAGACAAAGAGAAACGGAAAAAAAATAGCCCAAGGATCCCAAAAGAATGAATGCCAAAGAGAACAGAGAGGAAGAGTGGTGGAGAAAATGAGAATGAGGAGGCATAAATAACTAAGAGTATGGCCGCACAGAATAAACATAAATAAAAGCGGGGCAAACACCACAAACTCAAATTACACTCCGGAATGTAGTCTGTGAGTGGGGAGGGGAGGGTGCAGACGCGGACGCGGTCTCAGGATAGGATGGTGACAGGAATCGTGGAAGTACCGGACAGCCAGCTGCGGCTGAACCCAAAAATAGGCGACTAATGTCCACAAATGTTTGTCCAGGTATTCCTCTATCTACGAACTAGTCTTTCAGGTGAGTCTTTCCCACTCTCTGCCTCTCTCTCTCTTCTCTGTCCCTCTCACTCTCTGCCTTTATTTCCATCCTGGTGTGTGTTTTGTGTAATTAATGTGGCTTGCCTGCTGCTTCTGTGGTAATGGCAACAAAGTCCAAGAGGAAGCGGAAGTGTGAGCCCAAAAAGTTTACGTTAACAGGAAATTGTTATTGTTTTGTCGCCTTAAAAAAGCAAGAACGAAAAAGGGACAGACATGCGAGAGGCCCCAAATGTGATACGAGTCAGATATACCCTGCAGATAAACTCACCAAAGAGATGTCCAGATTCCTCGCCAGCAAATTGTTACATAGCCATCCAGGAACATGACATCCCCTCGTCTCAGCGGCATACCCATTGATGGGGGGGCCTGCGTACAAAAACCCGAAAGCCGTTTGCGTTGGTAATATTGAGGAGCCAGCTGACCATTGCCGGGTGGGTTATCCAGACCAGGTCATTGACTTTCCTTCCACTCTCTGTCATCGCTCCCTCCCTGTGTGGGTGTGGGGGTTTTGTGCCTGTGTGTGTGTGTGTGGATGGGTAATTAAGATGCTATCTCAGGGCGTTGAAATTCGAGACGAGAAGCGATTCCTGGATAGCGGCGGCTATAGTTGGCTTTTACGGCTTAGCCTTGGCGGAAATTGGCCAACTTAAAGCGGGCACCGTGTTGGGTGGGTTGGTGCTGGTTTGTCTTTAAAGCCTATTACTAGTTAAGTCCCGACAGCGTGCTATAATTTTCAATAAGCACAATTGACACCCACTCGGACAGAAAGTAGTGCAAAGGAGGGGCTGCTGCCACTTGAGCTGAGTTCCTCGGACACTCGCCGGGGGGCGGGGGGTAATTTACGCCTTCAATTTGTACCGGCCAACGGCCAACGGCCAGCAGGCAGCGGCAGCGGCAGCTCCCACTTGATATAATTGATGGCCAGTGTCCAAGTTCGTGGCAACTTGGAGCTGGGCTGGGACTGCTGGGTGCTGAGCGCCTTACCCCCTGGCTAGCTATTTACTCGTCCTTGCTGGTACGTTTTGTGTTTCCGGCTCATTCTTATGTGACGCCACCATCCATATACACAATATATCCTCCCGTACATACATATGTATATGAGCAGCATATTTCAAGCGTTTTTATGGCCAAAGAGTCCAGCAGTAGGAAGCTCATCTCGTGGCATGTGGCGCTGTTTACGGAAGCTGCCTGACCGGGAGTGGGGCGCAGGCTCCTCATCATCATCACCATCATCTGCGAAAAAATGCTACAAAAATGTTGATCGATTCGAGTTTGACTTTTATGCCCGCTGCGTGTTTGTCGTGGGGTTTTTTTTTTTTTTTTGGTACTTCCTACGAGGGGCAAACTCACCAGTTTGAGGCTGTTGGACTGTTGGTTCTTAATCTAACAAAATAATAGAAAATGTTTATTATTATTATTGCTACATTGAGCAGCAAAATCTCTTGAAATCCTTACCGAAAGGGCATCCACAACTCCTCATGTATCCCTCATCTATTCACAATGTGTTTTGTATCCATCGCTGTCAATACTTTCTCGTTGCTGACTCAATCATCAATCACTCGGTGGCCGCCCCATCTCCTGCCTTAACCCCTCCAATGGCTTATCAAATTTGTTTTCTGAATGCCACGGAAATCGGCTACGTTCTGCCGTTCTTAAATCGAAGCCAAAGATTCGGAAGGAATCGTCCGGCTGGCTTTTTGTGTCCCAATTACTGCGAGTAAACCGAAGGAACAGCTCCTTACAAAATTTACTGTCCGACTCGATGACTTTCGACTTTTGAGCAATTTGCTATAGCCACGAACAGGAGCAGGAGAAGAAGCAGACGCAGAAGCAGGATGCAGCAGCGATAGCAGCTCTTTGGAAATAGTTTATACCACCGCATGCAGAAATGCCAAACGCTCGATTGGACGCAAAACAAAAATTGTTGGCGAAAAACTTTCAATTTGCTCAGCCGAGAATCTGGAATCATGGTGAAAGGGAAAAAAAAAATCATAAAATACGAGTATAAACCGAAAGCCACAGCCCAATTGGAGGAGGAAGTGGCACGGAATGCTCAAGAACTTTTCAATTTGGTGGCAAAATTTGCGCCATTTCCTTGGTTGCTGTTTTTTTCTTTCGCAAAAGCAGAAAAGGTTTTGATCCTGTCCTGTCCCCCTCCCTCCTTACAACCACTTCAAAACTGCAAGTGTCAATGGGGGGAAATTGTTCAACGCTGACACAGAAGGTTTCAGCACGAACAAAATACATACGTATATTTATTCGTTGATTCGATTGTTTCTTTTACAAATTAGGAGCACTTCGATTTGTTAGTCCTGCATCAAAGTGTAGTATGCCGGACGAATCATCATTTTGACCGACTTTAGCGAAGTATAACTCTTCCAGGGGAACCACCAGATGCCGGTCCAGTCGTTTTGTGGCCCATCTTTGTACCGACCCATCAGATTGCTGAGAATGAGATAAGCGAACAATTATGGAATGCTGTTAAGTTTGAGATTCCGAGATGCATATGTCTCACCTATTGGCGTCCCAGCCATACCACCAGGCTCCCCCATAGTAACTGGCACAGCTCCCTTTGCCCCATCCATCGTTGTCCCTATCGTAGGTTGTGAACTCATTGTTCAGATGGTAGCTCATTGCCTCCCCGGCATTGCCTGAGTACTCGCCCAACGATCTCAGTTTATATTTCTCATGCTCATTGCCAATCCGTAGATTACTGTACAGAGCATATCGTTCGTTGCCACTGAAATCTTCGAGCTGTATGAGCAGCTCGTAGGGCACGGATCTTGTCAGACTGTGCAAATTTTCGAGGCCCAAAAAATGATCGTCGGTCAGGTCCCCGAAGCCATTGCGATAGCTGGTCCAGTTTCTGTAAAAGTCCTGCTGCTCTCCATTGGTGCGCTTCAGTACAACAATCCAGGCGGGTTCGTCCATCTCCACCATTTCGCAGTACACTGGGAACGGCTCGCTGCCGGGAACTTGGATTTGGTGTATTCCGGACTCCTCGTAGGACGCACACTTAGTGGGTAGTGAAGCATACGTGGGGCTAGTGGAACATCTGGGAGTGGTGGAACTGGTGGGAGTGGTGGAACTGATGGGAGTGGGCTCTTCTTCAGTTGGGGTGTCCTGGGGCAATGGGTCGCTTTTCAGCTCGGCAAAGAGATCGTCTTTGCCCTGCAGCTCCATCATACCGCGAAGTTCCACTAACTGTTGGTTCAATGTCTCGATCTGTGCACCATACTCATCGCAACGTTGCTTCAAAGCCACTACAGTGTCGAGCAGGGGCTTCAGCTTCTCAAAGCATTCTGGCCCACAAAAATCAATAGAGTTCCCTTCGTTGTTGTAATCGAACAGTTGTACGGTAGAAAATCCTGCCAGTAGCAGGATAATCGAAATAACTTTCATTGCTGTCGGGAAACGTCTTACTGGTGGCGAATTTTAAAATAAACTGATCGCAAATCGAGCGAAATGCCCGCAAAGATGACTATACTGTGTGGAACTCGTCTCGTTCAGTTCTTATCGCTCTGTGACCCGAGAGTCAAATCAAAAAGATTATCAATAACGATATGTACATATGTGTATGTGATTCGATTACACAAGAAACCAAACAATGCAAAATATTGCCAATGGCACGATTCATTAAAATACCCGCATCAATGCAGCTACATTGTAACGCAGCAAAATATTTGATTCACATTATCACGTATAATGTTCAGTCGAAGCTTTTTTCCTAAAGAAAGAAGGCAAAAAAGCGAGCAACCTGTTTAATTAGTTGGCTTATTTCGTGGGCCATTTATATTGCAATTAAATGTTTGTTTTGTTCTTTTCTTTCCAATATTTTACATCCAATTATACTATTTGAACAGCTGTAGAGTCTCCACCGGTCTAAATCTGTGTATTTGCTTGGCCAGCAGCACCATTATCCGTCGTATTGAGGTGCTAATGTATTTATAAAGCGACTCGAATGTATTTTTAGTTTTTAAAAGAAAAAAGAAAAGAAAAGCGTAGCTGAAATGTGGGCTGGTCGGGCGCCTTTTTATCTGTTCATTTTCATTGCCCAATTTATGAAGTGCGAATCATTAATTTGATTTCTCGTATAGCCAGAAATAAATTAGGTCAAAATATCCACAAATGGGCGGTGGGGCAGCGCTTTGAAGTCGGTCCGCTCAGACATATACATAGTACTCGTATACCTACTCGTAAATCTGTTACTCGTTTGACTTTGAAAATTTCCAGAGAGCGCTGGAACACAAATGGGTGGGTGCAGAAGGAGGGGCGGGGCCCAGGCAGCCTTGCCTCGAACTGTATTCATAATTCAACTGACAGCTGAGTTTTTTCCATCAATATGGCTATAATTTGTCCGCCTGGCCCATCTTGCACACGTACACGGACTTCTAAGTGCCTTCCCTGCTCTGCTCTGCTCTGCGCTGCTCTCTACCTTGACCTTAAACTTTAACTTGATGGAAATGCGGGGATGTGTCTGCCTCATCCTCGTCCTCGTCTGCAGTTTCCTATTAAAACTCTCAAGGCTCCCTGGCATATGGCGGAGTGCATCAGCATGCAGGAGCGATGTCCATAACCCAAAAACTTCCCCAGACAATCAATATGCCCCGCACCCACGATACTCCTTAAGTGCGAATGAAATCGAGTAGGAAAACTACACACTGGCAAGCACTTCTCTGTCCTTGGCGTTGTGTGTTCTCAACACTTTCTCAATTTGGTTGGTCAACTGGATTTACAGTATGCCCGGAATGTCATTGTCCTCGGGCCGCCCGCCTCCCTTGCTCGCTGAAACTGTCACTTCTTTGCCGTACTCCTTCCCACCAAATGTCGTTGCAGTTTGTGTTTAGCTTTCCTTATATGTTCTTTAGTTTTTTCATTGCATTTTCCAGTCCAGTTTTCCAACCCAGCCTCACTGCTGCCTTGAGACTTAGATGTTGTAAATGGGGGGTTACATTGGCCGAAGCATGAAAAATGTTTTCTTGTTTTTGTATTGCCACTTTTTGTTGTTGTTGTTTATGGTTGCTGAAAAGGAAATCCTTTGTTTACTCACTTTTAACTGGGGTTTTGTCGTACAATGCATTAACGAGTCCTAAGTGAACAATTAAAATCAATATAAACAAAATGAAATTATACATGAAAGTAAACAACAATACAAGCATCGTTTGAAGGAGAAAAAAAAGGCTGACGAGTTTCGAGAATTCATTTAAAATTATGTTTATTTTATTTGATCATTTTTTGAAGCGCTCAAATTGCACCTAATGTATTTTTAGCAACATTTCTTTGCCTTCAATTAAGTTACACTTAAAATTGGAAAATGTATCCATATAGATGTATCTTTTTTGTTTTGTTTTGTTTGTCTACATTTTTCGTTTACCTGTAGCTTTTTTTTGTGGACAATACATAAATGTATGTATATGTATGTATGTATGTATCATAATTTAATAGTAAACACTGATTAGCCTAGGTTTTTTTTTGTATTTTCAAAAGTACAAATACTCGTGTACATTGGGTGGGCGGGGGAAAAGTTCACCCAACAGTGCCCAAAGATTATTTCAGCTATGATTTACAATATATGTTGTTTACAATATCCAAGTCAATGATAAATTCTGGCATTCAAGAAAGACAAACAAACTTTGTGTGTGTTTGTTTTTCGGGGGAGAATCTATTCGACTGTTCTGTTGTCAGCTAATTAAATATTTATTGTATCTATTGTTTTTATTAATGTATTCATTTAATATTAATTTAAGTCGATTATTGAATGCAGAGGCTTAAAAACATTTAGTTCCAATGTTAAATTAAAATGCACTCGGTTAATTAGACTTCATTAGAGATTATCGTCATGAATTGTAATGCAAATTTTCCACATTGTTTGCTTTACATTTTCCGAATTTTTTCCATTTCCATTTTCGTTTTATTTTACAATCACATTTACAATTTAATTCGAATTGAAAAAGGGTTTGTTTTGTTTTTTATTGATTTTTTTTGTTTTATTTCTTGTTGCAGCGAATACTTTTTGTTCGTTTTATTTCCAATGGAATTACTTGCCTTTCTGGAATTCTTTGGGTTCTCGTTTTGGGTTTTTTGATATTTTTGGCTTTTTTATTGCGCGTTTTTCTGAGTTATTCATTTCGTACTAATTCCAAGGGAACTTGAAATCTAAGATCAAATCTTTGGCTTACCGAACTAACACTCCAAACTTGTTATGTTCCACTATTTTCACTTTCTCGTACTCCACAACCAGCCGCCCCACACTCATCACGTTATTTGTAAAGATTTTCAACCTTATTCTAGCAGAGTATGTAAATTGGAAAACGACATTAAAGGTATCCACACACACACAAACACACTTATGCAGAACTTATCTGATCGGCAAAGCGATGCGACTGCGATTTGCATTTGATTTGCGTCCTTTGATCTGAAGTACTTTTAAGATGAATATTTTAGTATTGAAACTATCTCTGACCGAAGCCTTACTGGCTGTAAAGTTCTGTTAAGTATACGGAAATAACAACGAAATTATAATCGACTCTCTGGCATAATCGTTTCCACACCAGGTTTCAATCGCAGGCTTCGCATCGTTTTGCTTTATCAATATAAAATATCAGTATCCATCGAGAACGAACGCTTAATCTAAAGCAGAAGCTCGGACTGCATTGTCAGCTGTCTATCGAGCTCCACTTCCACGCTCACGCCCACTCCGATGTCGGCCTGCCCTCATCTTCTGGCTATAAACACAACCGTCTCCAGCGGCATAGCCTGGGCCCGCTCTTATAAGTCCGTGTGCAGCACGGGTGGCTTACAGTTGTTGGTCTCGGCATTGACTACCAGCAGAGTGGCAGGATTGCCGCTGTTGGATGGCGCTGGTAGCTCGGCAGGAGCATAATGAACTGCTGGTTGGACAGAGGTCACCGCATCCGTTCCCGCCGTTGTCGTGGTCGTTGTGGTGGTGGTCATCGGTGCATTGTTGTTTCTCGCTGCAGCCAGTGCCCTCTTTTTGGCCGTGCCACCGGCCTTGGCCCCTTTGTTGCCACCACCGATTAGCCGCTCCGACTGCCGTCCCTTGCCGAACTTGGGAAAGAAACTGTTCTCCAGCTGCAGCTGGGCATTGACGTCCTTGCGGGCCGCGCAGGTGCAGGCCTTCATGAAGCTCTTCTTGAAGTTGTCGCTGAGAAAGGCGTAGAGGATGGGGTTCATGGCCGAGTTCGAGTAGCTGAGGCAGCCGCAGACCAGGAAAACTGCCAGCTCCAGTCGTGAGGCGCCGCACGGATTCGGTACCGAGTTGATTAGGGCCACCTGCGAGATCCAGTGTGGCAGCCAGCACATGATGTACACAGTTATCACGGTCAGCACCAGCTTGGTGACCTTCCTGTGGGAGCGCTTCTTCTCCTTGCTCTTGTGCTTGGGCCCCACCGTGTGCAGCTTCCTGATGACCAGGCAGTAGAAGACCAGAATGAAGGTGAGCGGCGTGGCAAAGCCCAGCACCACCGAGTACAGTATGAATGTGGTGTCTGAGTCCAAGTTCTGGGTGTCCGGCCACTCGATGTTGCAGGTCAGCAGCCCGTTCTTCGCTGGCACTGTGCTGGCAAACAGAATGACTGGCAGCATCAGCAGCACCGAGGTCATCCAGGCGAAGGCCGACACCAGCTTGGACACGAACGGGGTGCGGTAGCGGGGCGAGGATATCGGATGGCAGACGGCTATATACCTGTCCGCCGACATGATCAGCAGGAAGATGGACGAGGTGAAGGATGTGATGGAGCTGCTCACCATATACGCCTTGCACATGTAGTCCCCGAAGGACCAGTTGCCCACCTGCATCGTGTAGAGAAGGAAGGGTATGCCAATCAGGAAGAACTCGTCGGCTATGGCCAGATTCAGGATGTAGATATTGGTCACCGTCTGCATCTTGGAGAACCGCATCACCACATAGATCACCAGGGTGTTGCCAAAGAGTCCAACGATGCACACCGCCGCGTACAGTATCATCGCGATGAGCTTCAGTATGAAGTTGCTGTTGCTGCTGCTGTAGTTACTGCTTTTGCTGCAGTCGACGCCCGGAAAGAGACCACCGCCGCTCCCGTTGCGGTACTGGTGGGGCACAGCCGGTGGCCGTCCAAAGGCCAGTGTTCCATTGAAGTCAACTGCTGCCACCAGATTGCCATTTATGTGCTTGTAGTCCAGCTCCAGTTGCAATTGCTGCTCCAGTTGTTGCAGCTCTTGTAGTTGTTGCTGCTCTTGTAGTTGTTGCAGCTGCTGTTGCTGCTGCTGTAACAGTTGCTGCTGCTGCTGCTGTGAGGTTCCATTTGGCGCCACTGTCAACTGCTCTGTGGGCATTATTAAGCTCGTTAGTGTCAGCGCTGTCAGCACAAATAACAGAAGGCCCCTGCCATGGTCCGGGCCCAGGACGTGGACATGGACGTGGACATGGCTGTTGTCGCTGTCCACGATGCGGCAGCCACTGCGGTCAGCAGCTGCCCCATTCGGTTTCGAATGTCCTTTCATGTTGGCTTTTGTGCCTGTACCCTGTTGGACCCTCTGCCACTCCTGGCCTCCTGGTAATTTCCTATACCCTGGTCGTCAGCCTATTAGTGGGAGCCTGAACCAGCTGCTGAATCGCAAATGTTTTGATATGTTTTCCATACTTTATGCGTGGCCCACCCGGCTTCACATGGTCCTGTTACTGTGCCTGTTAGGGGTTGCTGGTGGTTGGTGGTTGGTGGCTGTGGTGCTGCTGCTGCAATAGTAGAACAGAGAAATGCGAGATTGATTAGTGGCGGCTAGTGCTGGTCGATGTGGATCGGATCTCCTTATTATTAGCTGGTTATATGGATATGGCCTGCCTGCCTGCCAGCTGCTCATAACAAACGAGCGCATTTTTTACCGACAATATTGAGCGTGGGGTATCAGTATTTCATGCAGTTACAGCTGCTACAGTGGACCACGGGAAAGGCAGCGAAAGAGAGGCTTTTCTTCTGCCTTTAGCCAAGTTTTCCGTCTCTGAGGGAGTGGCCTGCACAGCCCCTCATTTTCCGAGGCATCTTCCAGCAGACAACAATGCAATCAACTATATCAAATTTTGCTCGTTTGCCTGTGTTTGTTTTCTTTCCTGCTCGCGAGCGTACAAAAAAAATGATTTTCTATCTGGCAAGTGAAAAATGAATGGCAACTCGAGAATGGAGCAAGGAAAGTAAAGAAAGAAAGCAACAACAAGCAATTAACTTGGCCATAACATAGCTGAGCTGAGACTAAGGCTATGGTAAGGGGTGGGGTGGAAATACCGAGGCGGAGCTTACTATTCGTACATATAAAACCCAATCTATTTGTTGTGCCAAAAGCAGAAATACTTCGAGTATAATTAAAATGAATTTCAAATGACTCATCAAGGATGTTGGCTGCAAAGAAAAACAGCATACATATAACAGCATTGAAACTGTGTCAACTGCCACTGAGAAACATTTCTGCAGGGGTTCGATTGAAATAATTCAAGAAATTTAATGAAAATTCGACTTAAAAAATATTATCAAATATCCAAACAGAAAATGTCGATGCAATTTATACGATTTACTTGTACTGGTGGTGCCTCCCTCGTCGATTGCTTCGTACAATAATTAATTACAAAATTGTTTCGAAACGCTTTCGGGAATCTTTCTCTGGGAGCACCCTTCAAGTAGTCTGCGGGAGCTTACCTCCAAGCGAGATTTGCCAGAGAGCGAGAGGGCAGCAAAAAGTTTGAGCAAGACGCAAACAAAACCGTCGAAAGCCGCAAACTTCTCGGTCCTTCGCAGACAATGAAGCAGCCAATAAGAAGTGAAGTCAAGTCAAGTTTTTGGGGCGGCCAGAAAACTTATTTGCCAGGATGACATGCCAAGGCCAAGTGGAAGTTTTGGTAGGTCATGGCGGAAAGAGCGTGTGGGCCCGGGTTGGGCGACCACACGCAGATAGAATTTCCTCTGATTAATTAATTGGCGTAATCCTAGTTAGATAAACTACTGCATGAATTGCCAACGAATTTATGACTCAAACAACCAACAACAGCAGCAGTTCCTACTGACCTTTGCCCAGATCGGGTTTAAGGTTAAGCCCCAGCCCCCGCCAACCCTCCCCACAGCCATGACCCCACATAATTAGAAATATGGAGACGCACTTGCTCATACGGCAGCCACATCATAATTGCCACCAACCCCCGCTGACTTTGTACGGCATCCACCTTGATTAGTCAGACAGACAGATTCCGATAATTATGCCAGGACCAGTATGCCACAGTCTGCATGATGTGGCTGTGCCTGTGCCTGCGCCTGACAGCCAATTGGAGAACAGTGCCGCTTCCAGTCCGCTTCCAATGTTCGGCTTCTGGCCAGGACAAACAAGGCTAGCAATCAATTGGCAAACATGTGTTGCCATTGACGATGACGAAGAAGGCACCTCACATGCTTCTCTGCTCTGCCGCCCAAAATTTCAATCAAAGTCCATAAAACGCTTGACTACCAACTAACAACCAACAACCAACAACCAACTACCGACTACCGATCTGGCCGCTGCAGCAGAAGATATGTGTGTTTCGGCTTTCCAATGAATTCGAGACAAAGGAAAAGGTGGCTTTATGGATGACTTGACTGATGAAACTTTAATTGGCAATGCTCTACGATAGTAATTTTGCGACTTTAACGCATGAATATTGTTACGTTTCCAAATATTCTTATTTATATTGATACAAATTTATTTGTAATTGAATATTGTAACATACTTTTTGGGGCACCCAAAATATAGAAAATCTTGTCTTTTTCTATAGAAAAGTTAGTTAAATTTAACACAGAAACTAAATGGAAGAAAGAACCTAACGAATTTTTATGGAATTATTTTTTCGTTGAATATTCCCGTCTTTTGTTTGCAGCGCCTTTGTTCGTTCACCTGAGCACACGCCAAGCGATGCCATGCCATGCGATGCCATGCAAAACTTGGCGCTGTTATCTTTTACACTCATTGGCCAAAGTCATTGTCATGCATAGAGTTTTTAGTGCTGTCCTCCTCACGTTTCACCTTTGTTCCCACCTTCCTCTCTGGCATACATTTTCACTTTCATCGCTCGCAAAGAGAATGGAGATTCGAGTGGATAGTTTTCCCGCTGTCACCTGTCAGTTGATTTGTTTTCGCCGAGTTTGCTTGCCTAATTTCATGATTTTAGCCAGTAGTCAGAACCTGATTGCTTTTCAGTTGGTGGGATTGCCATTAGGTTCATTACAAATAATTTTCGACCTGTTGTGCAAGCCATGAATCCAATGAACACCAGATCGGCTTATGTCAACCAATTTAATTGGTAAATATACGGAAATAGCTCACATTTCCCATACCATATGGGGAGGGGGGGCACAGCAGTCAACAGTAAAATCATATTCCCTGTTGGTTATGAGCAAATCAGGCCCGATTGGCATTGGGTAAGCTTTTAACATGATTGAATTTCATGGATGAAAATGTGATTAAAAGCTGTATTCAATCAACAAGCGAAGAGTTAGCTGAAATTTATTTGAATGAACAGCACTTATTAGGTTATTTTATATAAATTAATGTTCATTCATTGCTTTGAATTGGTCTTTTGACAGCATGCAGTTTTCTGTATTTATAAACTTAAACTTTTCACATTTATGCCTACAAGTTTTAGACTTTAAACGATAGTTATTCATTGCGGTTATGATGGTTGAATATATTTTTGTTATTCTTCTCTTTGTTTATTCTCGTATTATTCTTAATAAAGACTATAGCTGGGGCCCAGTGATGTTTCATTTTTATGCTGAACTTCTTTGAGTTAAATTATATTTAATTGATATCTTGAAGTTATTCATTGTGTGGATTATCCCCTCGTTACCGGTTAATGAGGTTTATTGTACATTTATTACATATTCCACGTTAAATGCGTCACTTCCTGAACGGCTCCTCCCACTCCTCCCACTCGTTTCGATCACATTGTTTTTTTCCTAATAAATTCTACTCCTATGGGGGGAAAATGAGTGTGCACCCACCTGAAGCCTGAAGGCTGGCAAAATATGTTTGCCTTAATTTATGTATTTACACTTTTGGCCCGTTGCTTCGAACCGATTCTGGATAAATTATGTGCTCATCCGTGCAGCGGCGACATCCTCACGTTTTCCTCTCGACGCGTCGGTCGATGGTACATACATACATATACATATGTAGATATGTATGTATGTATGTATGGTACATAGTCATGATTTAGAAATAATTAAATATTTATTTTCGCACATCGTAAATGACGTTGCCAACCTATCGATGAGGTTTGCCCCACCCAACCGAGTGCTCATTAATATTAATAAGGCGACTTTTGCCGAGTGCGAGTATCAGATGGCCTCCGTTCGTGTCCCCCCCCCCCGTGTCTGGTGTCTCTAATCTCAACAGGTGTTTGTGTTGCCTTCTGCCACACACGTGTCTGCCCGGCCCGGCCTCGTCCTTGCCAGTGCTTGCCATGTAATCAAGTCAAGTGTCAGTGCCTCGGCCACAGACAGAAAGTTTTATCTGAGCGTGGCCCGAAGCGAAGAGCGGCGTTTTCGTTTAGGCCAAAACTCCCGCTCGAATCCAATTTCCATTATCCAATTTAACGCCGGCATGCGCGCATAAATAAGCCTCTGCGGATAGAGCCCGGGATAGAGACCATCACGAATAGGAATAGGACGATCCCTAGCCCTACCCAATAGCTCTCTGTTATGCAAATCTCAGCGAAAATGAAAAGGGAATAATATCAATCTTCTACTTAGCCAGGACAGAACATATATTTTATGGGCCCCCCATACCCAGCCCCGGATCAAATACATACATCACTTTGAGGCTGCCGCAAAATTTTAACCCAAAATTAGGTTTCCTTTAAAGTCAGTTAAAGAGAAAAATTCCAAGAAATTTTATGACGCAGCTGTCTTAGTGCTGCTTCGGATGCCCCAGAGAGGGAGATTGAAATATACAATTTATTTATTATTTATAGTTAAGCAAAGAGAAAAGGAATAAAAGGCAGCAGAGAGCCAACAGCCAAACCCGAAACCAGAAGAGACACAAACGACAGCTTAGCAAAATACAAGAGGAAAGACCAAACAAAATAAAGTGAAACAAAGACGAAGACAAGAGTACTACTCCACACTATGGAGGAGTCTTCGTTTGAATTGCAGGGAGGTTGCCACTTGCCAAGCGCCCTGAACCATCCATTTCGAAGAATAAAGATTTTGCAGGTGTACACACATACTTGATGCTTCACATCATAGTATGAAAGCAGGAGAAAAAAACCGATACCACGGAGTCGAAACTTCAAGTACCCTTTGGTTAAAAGTTCGTATGATCACAATTCGATCAAGATATTTAGATTTATCTGAATTTATGTATATCAAATAGGCTGCAGATTTTTTATTTGTTGCCGCTATAATATAAATTAGTTCCCATCCAACCTCTAAATAAGTTAGCTTAAGGACTCAGAGCACCACGGCGACTTTAAGCAAATATTTATTCTATTAATCTCCCGCCCTATATACCCATTGCTTTGACAAAGTGTCTGCCCAAAAACCTTTTTAAAATACAAATAGAAGGAAAATGTTGTGCTCAACGTTTAAAAGTAGACTTTGTATGATATTTTTCATTTTCTTTATTTTGTTTTGTCCTCCATTTAATGGCAACTCTGTTGCGTATCAGAAGGTGAGCGAGGAATTTTTTCGTTATCTGTA